GACAGGAAAAAAATGTGAAGCCGTGAAGGATTCCATTCAATTCAGATCAACAATCAACATGCACGAGAGCAGCAGTCAAGAAATCTAACAGCACCTGCTGCAAAAGACCTTCTGCATTCATCTGGGTACTTTAGAGAAACAAATCCACAGAAACCCATGTAAAAGAGAGAGTTTTATATAAAGGTTAAGTGAGCATCAAGAAAACATCCCCACCCGGTGCTGCCCAAGCCCACAAGTCCAACATTAACCCATTCACCCATATGTCCAACACCAATCCACAAAGTCCTCCTCCATCTCACAAAGCAGACGCAGTGACTCCGACTGCAGGAGGAAAGCTGAGTCAGTGACGGTGTAAACATCTCAGCGCTGGCAGGGGTCTCCACATAGCTGCTCCAGCACCCAGGGCTGCATCGGGGTAGGTCCATGTGGCTTCTCCTTGGGGATGTCTTGCAGGAAGTGAGCCTTGCCTGCTGAAGCAGGGAACTGGCTAAGGCAGCTGCACCCTAGTCCATCCATCAGAAAGCAAGAGACCTGAGAACTTGAAAGGCGAGGCTCATCGAGCCATTTATCCCTCCACCCTTCAATTAAACTAACATGTGTTTATCAGCCAGGTTGGCACAATAAACTAACTACCTCATCTTTCTTAAGTTCTCTAAGGCAAAAATACCACTTTGGTGGCCTAGGTATGACTTTGCCTGAGCCGAGCCACTGTCCAATGAGGAAAGGAGGAACGGATGCCTCCAGCGGGACATGTTGGTGAAGAGCACCGTGCATCGCATGGGCGGCCTGAGCTGCCAAAAGAACGGACAAGTCCATCTTGAAGCTCAATGAGAATGCCCCTTCGACGTGGGGCTGGTAAGACCTCGCCTTGCTTACTTAGGACACATCATGAGGAAAGACCAATCAGGAAGAACGGGGCGTCAAGGTTGGTAAAGGAAGAAGTCAAGTGAGACAGACTGACGCCGTAAGCTCCACAAAGGGCTCCATGATGACTGATGATCATGAAGACAGGGCAGGACGGGCGCCATCTCTTTCTGACACAGAAGAGCTTCCTGAAGTGGAGCCAACTTCGTAGTCTGAACAGTGAAGGGAGGCTTGATTTCCGGTTCCCACAGCCAGCCCCCCTGAAGTCCTCCAGCTGTGTGGGTGCTCCTCGCCCATGCAAAACTGCAGGGTGTAGGGTGCTGACAGCTCTGTGCTGTCATCCCTCCGTGGCCTGGTTTCTTGTCCTTGTGTGCCATCGGTCCATATGCACTGTGAAAGAGCCTGCCTGACTAGCTCGTGTTAACTTTCAGAACAAGAAGGGCACCGAGTGTTCACAACCACCCACTTCTTACCCTTCGCTTTGTCCTGACCAAACTGCGGTCAGGCGTCTCTCGTCCCTCCAGTCTCCTGACCTCTGTGTGCCTCCACAGAGGGATTAGCAAGCACTAATCAGGGCAACATGCCTCCTTCCTCAGCTCCTCCTGGGCATCAGTGGATCACAGTGAAGTAGTTGTCCTGTCAGGCACCCTGGTCACTTCCCCCTCGCAGGTCCAGCTTTCCCCCTGAAAGGTTCTGCTAATCTCTGCACGCCCCTCCTCATCTTAAAGGAGACATCTTTTTCTGATTGATTGTGAGATGTTTGCAGATGTCTGAGATCTCTGCAACAGGAGGCTTCTCCCTGTGGTAATGGTTTTTCTTTCTGAACAAAGCCTCTTCCTGGCTAAATCCAAAGAGCTTGGCTGGTGGGGTAGTTTTCTGGCCCTCCCAGCAGAGCACTGTGAAAGAAAGGCTTCCACAGAGATCACCGCCAAGAACACTCCATGAGCCATCCCACTCTGTACCCTTGCGGTCAAGAGGAGGCAAAATCGACTCACCGGCTACACGGTTGGTGTGGGTAGGGTCAAACTTGGTCTCTGTCAGAGAGAAGATGCTTCCCTTTAGGAAGTACCACACTCCCTTTTCTCTTAGGATCCCCGGTAGCTCCACCAGTTACACATAGGGCTACTAACTGCAAGGCCCACCAGTCACTCCGTGGGAGAAAGATGAGATTTGTCAGTTCCCAGGGAACAGGTCTACTCGGCCCAATAGGGTTCCTGTGAGTCAGAACACACTCTATGGCAGCGAGTCGGGTCGTTCTCTATCAAGTTTGGGGAATTAGGCATTTCTCCTCACAAACCAGGAAGCTCAGAGCCCACGCTCAGTGACTGCGAGGTTTCGTCGCTCCCTCCTGCGGAGAGCTGTTTCTACTCCTCACTGCTCCACTGTCCGACACAGTGTTAGCGCAAATCACCTCCATCTGGCTTTGTGGGCGATGAGTTGTATTTTTTTAAGATCATTGTATTGGGGGTTCTTACGGCTCTTATAACAATCCACACATCAATTTTATCAAGTATATTTGTACGTACGTTGCCATCATTATTCCTAAATATTTACTTTCTATTGGAGCCCTTGGTATCAGCTCCTCTTTTTCCCTCCATCCTCCCTTCCCCGCTCATGACCCCTTGATAAATTATAAATTATTATTATTTTCATATCTTACACTGACTGCTGTTTCCCTTCCCCGGCGATTTCTGTTGTTCGTTCCCCCGCCCCAGGGGGAGGGGGTGCTATGTGTCATCATTGCGATCATTCCCCCCTTCCTGATAAGTTGTAAGTCAGCAAAGGAGAAAAGCCACCTTCTTGACAGAGCCTTCTCAGAGCCCTGCAGCCAGCTCTTGAGGACTAACCGTCTCTCTGAACTCCAGCACCACTTATTTTCCAAGCCACACAAAGCAGCACGCCCCCCTCAGTGTACACACGTCACACAGACAGCCCACCCACCCGTGTTCCTTGCAGTCACTGTCCTGATCAGGAAGCTAATCTACACCCACTGTCCCAGTGTCCACTCTCCCTGAATCTCCTCAGCCCTCTGCAGCCTGACCTCCACTCTCTGCTCCACTCAGCCTCCACAGAGCTGTCCCCTGTGACTGCCCAATAGTCACACAACCCAGACACATCACACACAGTCTCTCCCCCATAGATCACACAAACACAATGTACGCACACATCACACACAAGATACACATACCTCACACAATGCCCACGCAAATGCAAATTCCACATACAACGTACATACATCCCCAATACATTCACATCACACAGACCTATACCCCACACAGTGCACACACCACACACAAAGTACACACCCACACACACGCACGCTCACGCTCACAGACACTCTGTGAAGCCATGTCTCCGCCTTTCTCTCCTGCAGAAAGCCCTTTCTCCTCTAATTTCTGGATCGACTCTCTCCCGATTGTCTCCCCACCTCCCCAGTGTCCCCCGGATCCACTTCCGCCACTCTGCCTTTAAAAGGTGTCTCCAGCGTAGACTTTATCTTGGCAGCCAAGACACAGACTCGTTCACTCTTGTGCCCTTAATCACCAACCAGGTGCCTCCAAACTCCCAAACCGTCTCTCTATTCCAGACTCTTAACCAGATTCCAGACCCTCATGTGCAAACCCTGCACCCTTGCCCCTCGACACAGTCCCTGATTTTCCATGGGGACGTCCCACAGGCACCTCAAAAGCAATGTGGACTGCACCACCACTGAATGGCTCATCGCCCCAGAGTTATCCAGCTGACACATGGAGGTCACCGTTAACTTGGTCCATTCACCAAATGTTGACAGAGGGCTCGCCACATGCCAGGCTCTATGTGCAGGACTAAGACGTGGAGTTAACAAAACGGAAGGGGCCTTGACCTCAGGGAGCTTTTAGCTAGTCCCTATCCCATCAATTCTGCTGAGCAGTCATGTCAAAAAGAGCCCCCTTCCTCGACCCCTGCGAGCACAGCCTTAGCTCGGGTCAGTGTGCCATCCTGGAGAGAGAGCCGTCTGTGGCTGAGCCACCCGAGGAGGCATCGCGTTCACCCCTGCGTTTCCAGGGCTTAGCGCACAATCAGGGCTCAGTACATGGATAGCATGTGGATAAAAAAAGGCAACTGAGACCAGAAAAGGAAACTTCAGCCCCTATAACAAAAAGTAATAATAATAAGCCCTTCTTACTCATTAGACTAGATTTTATTAAGCATTTAATATATGCTAGGTTGTGTGCTAAGTGTTGGGCACTTATTATGCAAGCCAATTCTTTCAATAGCTCTGCAAAGTAGGCTGTTTTATGGCCACTTTATAATATAAGGGATGGGAGCTCAGGAAATGTTTTCCTAATGGACTCAAGGCACCCGGCTAGTAAACAGGAGGTCAGGATTCAAACCCAAGACCGTCAGACTCCAGGGCCCATGCTTCACCCCAGCACTTGGCGGGCTCAGCTGCCATGGTGGAATGGGCTACCTCTTTGTGATGGACAGGAGTTCATTCCCTGATAAAGGAGCCCTAGTGCTGTACTGGGTTAAGCATTGATCTGCTAACCACAAGGCCAGCAGTTCAAACCCGCTTGCCTCTCCACAGGAGAAAGAATGTGGCAGCAGTCTGCTTCCATAAAGATTTTCCACCCTAGAAACCCTATAGAGCCCTTCTCCTGTCCTATGGGGTCACTGTGAGTCAGAAGCAGCTCAGTGGCAGTGGGCAGGGGGCATTGGGCACATCCCTGAGAGCAGGATGGCCTCTGTTGGAGTCATAGGCAGGGATTCCCTAGAAGTGGAATTGAATTGGCTGCAGGTCCTTCTTAAGTTAAGGCTCTTTGGGTTTTAAATGAAAGCTTCAATGGTTTATCTTGATTTCCTTCGCAGAGCTTAGCACGAGGCCAGGTACGTCACAGATAAACAGCACATGCTGACTGAAGGCGTGGAGTGATGAGGGAGGGAATGGGCGGGTGCACGGATTAACGGAATGAATGGGCAACAGGTCAATCTGCGCATCCAGTCAGTCTCAACTCTTTGGGGTACTCATTTTGCTGGGTCCTCACAGCCCGAGGAGCCCCAGGGAAAGCAGAGAAAGAAGAACACCGCCTACGGGACGAGCAGCCCTGCCTACTGACACCCTGCAGGGCGGGACAGGCAGGGGCAGGCGCTCTTACCTGCACAGGTGGTCGGTCCGGCACACACTGCGGAGGTCCAGGCAGTTGGGTTTCTCCTTTTCCTCGTAGGAGCAGCTGGGCACGATGGTCTGCCGGCGGCGCTCAGCACATGCCTGGTCTTGGCAGGAGCAGAAGAGCATGCGGTAGGTGTACTCGCTGGGCACCCGGTCAAAGAACTGGCGCAGGGCCTTGTGGCACTTGCGGCGGTTGCAGCGCTCCGTGGTCGAGAGATCGCGGTTGCAAATGGAGATGTAGGAGGAGCGCAGCTTCTTGCAGTTGTCATTCAGGTTGCAGGCCTTGGCAGCGTCCAGGCAGTGGTTGCTCTTGGCGCTGACCACCGGGTCTGCCCCTGTCCCTGGAGGAGGAAGGACGAGAGCAGGTCAGAGGCCCGCACAGACCCAGTGGAGGACACAGGTACCCGCCGCACACTTGGGGACCCCCTCACTGTTGAGCACACTGTCAGGGGCTGCTTTCTGCTCAGTCTCCAAAACACACACTCCGACCTCACTGCCGGCGAGTCCTTTCCATCGCGTGGTGACCCGATAGGACGGGGTAGGACTGGGCCCTGTGGGTTTCCGAGACCGGAAGTCTTGACGGGACAGGAAAGCCTCATTTTTTCCGGTGGAGAAAGTTTCAAACTAATGACCTGGAGATTGGCAGCCCAGCACTTAACCCAGTACCCCACCAGGTCCCCGCACTGCCTCACTCTCCTCATCTCTAAAATGGGGATGACTCCATCGGGCCTCCCTTCTATAAGGCTGTGGTTCATAAGACACTGCCCGATACAAGGGAGGCTACAGTGGGATGTACAGTGAACCGTGTGGATGAAGACAATTCATCCCACATCTTCATTAAAATAGATCACAAGCCAAACAGGCAAGCAATTGGGTGTGAATGGCCCCGTTTACGAATGTGGAGATGGGCAAGTGAAGAGACGGGACTGAAGATCACAGCACCTGGCAGCAGCTGAGCTGAGTCTGGTGCCACCACTCCTCTGGCCGCAGCACACTGCACCCAGTGGCACTCCGCTGCCTTCTGTGTGAGGCAACTCTGCATCATGGGATCTTCTACACTCCTGCCCCAGCATCCAAAACCACTACCACCCTCCTCAGCCCCACCATGGAGGCCGCCCACACTGCCCCATACGGCTCCCAAAAAAAGCCCCTTCTGAGGTTGGGGGTGGGATAGGCAGGGTGCCACCTGTGGAAGAAACCTGAGAAGGAAGCCCCCGCGAAGAATCCCAGCAGCGTCCCAGTGAGGGTTGATGCACAGGCAGGAATCTAACAAGATCAAGTGCAGAGCCAACCTAAGAGCAGGGAAGCTGGAGCTCTGGGGTCAGATGCCATGCCCTGGGGCACCAAATAAGCAGGATGTCCAGGAATCATGTTCCCATGGTGACTGCTGCCCTCACCCCACAAGTCCCTTGTGTTCTAGGGAGCACACATGGCACAGCACAAGACCACACCATCCCCACCACCAGTCACTGCCTACCCACAATGCATCTCTTGGCTGTCCTGATAGCAGGCGGTGGAGGGGGGCCGGGGGGTGGGTAGGAATTCAGCCTGCACATGACTTCCTCAGAAGTTCTACACTAGTGGGAGCTGATAGGAGCCACCCCAGTCCTCCTCATTCAACCTCTTTACAGATAAGGAAACTGAGGCCCAGAGTGCTAGTAGCATACCTGGGCCAACATCAGATCCCAGACCCGCACCAACCTACCATCAGCTTACGTACAGTCTAGGATGGCCTGGCACCCTTTCATTCATTTTCCAGCCGCCCAACAAAGACTCTCAATCGTTACTGAGCCCCGCTCCGTGCTAGGCCACACAAGGTGGCAAGGAAGACCCAGGCAGGAGCCTCTCTTTCCCTCCCTCTGGTGAGCCCAGCTAACTGAACTAATCTCCTGCACATAGCTACTCAGACTCTGCTCATATGACCATTAAAGAGCTATCTGCACCGTCTCTGCATGGTGCTGTTGGACAGAAAAGTATAAGGGAAGGTTTGCCTCTCAAAGAGCTCACAAATATGAAGAGCCAAGCAGCCATACAGCAGGGTGTTTACGGCGGGCCACTCTGGAACAGCACCAGCTGAGTGCAACTTCTGCCTCTGCTACTAATTCGCTATGTAACAAGTTCCTGAACCTTTGCCTCCGTTTCCTTGTCTGCAAAATGTGCCGCAGCTGCCTCCTATGTCCGGCTGTTGGGAGCAGGAGTGGGGTAGTCCATTGCTCTTTTCTTTCCACATATTATCTTTGCCCTGTCTACTAGATCGTTCCCGTGTTAAAAAAGAAACTTCCTTATGACCATACAACCCTTCTCAAAATACCACTCCATTTTTTTCCACTCCACTAAAGTGGGACTCTTCAAATGAGTTGTCTGTCCAGCTGTCTCATTTCTCTCTTCTTGTCCTCTCTTGACCCCACTCCAGCCTGGCATCCCCCGCCCCCTCCCACCTCTGCCGCTTCACAGAAAGGCCTTTTGTCGACAGCTGGGAGTCCTCAGGTCTCCACTTACTCGGTCCATCAGCCATCTGCCATAGTGGTCACTCCCCGCGGCTCCATCCCTTTCCCCAATTGCTGCTGTCTCTCTTACCTTCCTTCCAGTTGGCTCCCTGGGGTCTCCTTCTCTGCCTGTTTGGCTGCTTGCTCCTCCTTTCCCCAGCTCCCTGACCTCAGGGCTCCATCTGTCCTTCCCTTCTCTCACTCCACCTGCTCCCAAGCACAGTGGTTCTCAACCTTCCTAATGCACGACCCTTTAATACAGGTCCTCATGTTGTGGTGACCCCACAACCATAAAATTATGTTCGTTGCTACTTCATAACTGTCATTTTGCTACTGTTATGAATCGGGCAGCCTCTGGGAAAGGGTCGTTCAACCCCCCAGGGGTCGTGACCCACAGATTGAGAACCGCTTCCCTAGGAGATCTCATCACAGCCTTGAATGTTGTCACCCCACTGTTAGAGCGCTAGACCAGACCCCCTCTCTGAACTCCAGATGCCACCACTCAACTGCCCATTTGGCAACTCAACTTGAAAGTTTCATGCCTGCAACTCAGACTCAACCATGTCCCAAACCAAACTCCCCCTCTTCCCAAAGCCTGTCCCCTGCCCTATAGACAGTCTTCCCTACATCCTTATAGCTATCCAGGCCACAATTCTCAGAGCTTCTGACTCCGGATCCTTTCACACCTTGTAGCACAAAAACTTGGAAGTTCTACCTTCAAACTCTATTCAGAAGCCAACCACTGCTCATCACCACCTCTATACCACCTTGGTCCAGCTTGCCACCATTGCTCGCCTGATTTATTGTAATAATTGGCCCTGCTCTACCCTCATGCCCCACCCCTGCCCCGCAACAGCACATAGCAGCTGGAGCGGACCTTCTAGCACCTAAGGAAGAGCCATCATCCCTGGGCCCCAAACCTGCTGTGGGCTTTCCACTCTCCTGCACAGCCAAGTCCTTAGAATGACCTACAAGTCTCTGCAGCCACTCCGCCTGCGCCAGGAGCAGCCAGCCACTCGGGGCTACTGGTCATGGCTGGGCTGAAATGAGAGGTGCGACCAGATTCTGAAAATCCACACCAGATGTTTAAAACTTCATCAGAAAGGGATAAAGAATGCAAATTAGCTCCATAATTTAACCTGGATTGGGTGTGGAAGTGGCTATGGTATGTTATATGGATCGTATTATTCAAATAAAGTTTACCTGTCCTCTTTCCTTTGTTCATGTGGCTGGAGGAAGAATTTAAATGACACACGTGATGTGCAAGGCATTTCTATGAGCACATCACATGTGACGTGCAAGGCATTTCGATGCTGCTCTACAGGGTCCCTCCAGATCATTGTTCTTACTCCTCTTGCCAGACTCACTCCATGCCTGCATCCCTGGTGCTATACTCAGCCCAGCATGGGCTCCCTCCACCTGTAGGGAGACTGATGAGGCTGTCTGCTCCCATAAAGGTTTACAGCCTCGGAAGCCCTGGGGGACAGTTCTACTCTGTCTAGGGGGTCGCTGTGAGTCAGAATTGACTGGAAGGCAGCAGGTTTTGTTTTCTTTTGTTTCTCACTCCATCCCAGCCATGCTGGCCTCCTTGCTCTGCTTGGAGCACACCAAACTTGACCTTGACCTCGGGGCCTTTTCCATCGGTTGTTCCCTCTGCCTGGGTGGCTTCCCTCACCTTCCTAGCCATCACAGAAGCAGCAGCCCCCATTTCCTCCCTGCTTTCAGATCTCTGCTGAAATATTATCCCATCAAGAGGGTACTTCCTATGCCGCCCCTCATTGCCTTCACTCCTTCCCCCGAGCAGTGCTTCCCACACACCCCTCCTCACCAGTCCCACTGGACAGTCACTCATGTGTTTGCTTGTCTGTATCCAACACTAAGCTCTTTGAGGACAAGGGGTGGGCTGTTCCACATGCTGCTGTGTCCACAGCGCCCAGGACAGGGTCTGGCACAAACTAGGTGCTCAATAAGCAGTTAGTGAGTGAAAAATAAACCTCCCTTCAAACAGTCTATACTTTATAATGAGCACTTGAGAAATGTGAGCAAAGCCTCATTCCCTGCCTGCCATTAAAACGGTTCTGACTCACAGGACCCTGTGGGACAGGATGGAACTGCCCCTGTGGGTTTCTGAGCCTGTCATTCTTTCTAGGAGTGGAAAGCCTCGGCTTTCACCTACACAGCGGCTGGTGGTTCCCAACTGCTGACCTTGCCCTTAGGAGCCCAATGCGTCACCTCTATGCCACCAGGGCTCCCAACTCAAATGAAGTAAGCAAAACTGATACCGAAGAGGCAGGCCTCAGTCCATACAAGGTGATATGCCTTGGCACCTGGGAAAGCCCCACTCAACAGGGCTGCTTTGTTGTTTTCTGGGTCTCGAACGTTGTCTGCCTTTGATAGCAGGCAGGCTCACACCACTTTTTGATTGCTCATTGTAATGGGAAACATCTGCCTTTTTCCTTCTCTGGCAGGTTTCTGCCTTACACGGATTCTGGCTTTTGCAGAGCTTACAATAGAATCAAGTCTCAACATGGGTGACAGGGGGGGTTGGGGACAAATGAGGAGCTAATAACGCTGAGTACAAGAATGCAAAAATTGTTCCAGAGTTGATTGTGGGGATGATCGTACAACTCTTCCTGAGGTTTGGAGCGATTGAATTGTATGATATGTGAATTATATGCCAATGAAACTCTTGGGACCGGGGAGGGAGGGAGGGGTGGGAAGTATCCATGTAGGAGACCACCCAGAAGTAGCTCCGAAAGTAAAATCAGGGGATGATCAACCACGACTGAGCCACCCACCACAACCCTGGGCCTGGTCCACAGCAGCTGTGTACAAAGGCAACAAGAGGGGCATTC